CATTTAAATTTGACTTTGAAATCTCAAAAAACACGTGTAAAACTTGTCTAAAACTGCCTGTAATATACACTTGATTTTGCTTTACGCCTGGATCTTGACAAACACGTGCCTATACAGGCTTTAATTCCGAAAAAGAAACTAGATGTGCCGGTGGGATAACCACTCATAATGCGGTTTTAAAATATAATTGAATATCACTTAGTATAAAACGAACATTTCCGGCCAAAGACATATCTAAAAATAATTAAATATTAGTAGGTATAAAACGAACATTTCCCCAATTATCATCAAAATTAAACAAACAAAAAAGTATAAAACAAATATTTCCAGTTAAAGGGTATAAATTAAATATAAACTTAAGTTAAAATAAATTTAAATTATATAAAAAAGTAAAGGGTATAATTAAACAAAAACTAAAGTATAAAACGAAAAATTCTACTAATTTGGTTTACATTTAAAAAAAAAAAATTACCCACTAAAACAGCATAGAACATAATCATATATAAAATAATCATAAAACAAATAGTTCCATTTATGCGGTATAAATTACAATTAAATATAAACAAATACTTCCCCTGAGGGGTATACATTATGATAAAATATAAACTAAGAAAGTTAACTACCATAATATAAACAAATATAATATAAACTAATTGTAATTTATTAATAAATTAATAAGTGAGCATTTTCAATAAAGCAGTATAAACAAAAATTAGATATAAACTATCTAAAATTGTACAGCAGCCCAAAAGTAAAGGTAACAGAAAAACGTGAAATTGCAGACAGCAGGACCTTGTACTGTACCTCTTCTGTCCACATTTTCATGAGGATCACATAGAGCTTTAATCGCCGCCACACATTAATCAAACTTGTCTTTCACCGGTTGAACAGAGGCATGATGTGCATCTCCGCTAAAATGGTATACATTTTGTACGGCATACGAGATATAAATGATCAGTGACTAGAATTTCCTACTCTTCACTTGATGCTTCATTACCGGATATCTGTAGAACTTTTTTAATCATTGTTTAACTCACACAATAAAAAAAAAATACAATAAAAATAGAACTTCTTTATCACTGACAGTGATAAAGATGAATAATACAGCTGTATGTGTTTCATAAAGTAATTGGGATCTTTTGGTGTTCAGATGCGAAGTTATACAAGAAAAAACCTTATCTTTAAAAAGATACGGAAATCAATCCTGCCCATTTTTACCACTAAATTATAAGCTTTCTAACTGGAATTTTGTCCTTTTTTCTATTATTACTTGCTTAATACTTACTCTAATATACATTTTCACTTAGGATTTAAAGGCTTGATGTGTTCGAAATAGTGACTAGACTTATGCTCTAGTTGCGAACATTATTAAACAATTGACTATAATACAATTTTTTTATTTTTTATAACTAGCAAAAAGTTGTGGTTGTGACAAAATATTATACTATCAGATAACATTACATTTTAGGTAATTTTAAGGAATATTTTAGCAATGCCAAATTTAAAAAAAATATATAAACAATTTATAAAATAAATTTTATTATCTTTAGCAAAATAAAAGATTTTTTTTTTTTTTTATAAAATAATATTTATTTACAATTTATTAAATTTTTTTTTTTTATAAAAAAAATTAAAATTAAAATACATTAACTCATAATGGTAAATATTAAAGTTTTACAATATATCCGTTAAATAAATTGTACAAAAGCATTCACTCAGTTTACAATAACATTTTAACAATATAGTGGTGTTACAATAATTTTCTTGGATATATATATATATATATATATATATATATATATATATATATATATATATATATATATATATATATATTTTAAAAGATCCACCAACAAGTTATAGTCATAAACTTGTTTTTAATTTTTTATATAAGGAAATTACATTAAAACTTTAACTTTTCAAAATAAAAATGAAATTTGCATTTTTTGATGCTGAGTCAGCATAATATGTCCAAAATCTAACCTTATCTAAAACAATGATATCTTGAGTAAAATTTGCACTTATTACACTATATTTTGCCAAATGGTAGCTAAATAATTGCTTTAGGGCTGGAACTAAAATTTTTTCCAAATGTGGAAAAAAACTAAAATGGCAGCAATAAATGTGCAAAAACTAATTAATCGCCAGTGTCAGTCTAACAAACTATATTGAAAATAATTTATTTATACTTGAAATATTACAATTTTAGTTCCAGCCCTCATAAATAAGTTAATACACATACTGTGAAAATTTGAAGATAAAAGCTTTAACCAAACTGAAGATATTAATGTTTTTGTAAGAAAACCGTATAAAAATAAGAAAGTCTTAAAAAACACATTTAAAAATAAAACAATGTAAAAAAGAAAAGTGTTTTTGTGAAAAGTTACTAAAAACTGCCACTAGCATAAAAGTTTACATCTTCATTCTCTCTCTCAATGTCTAAATAACCTTTTTTTATAGATCTTAAATGTTTTCTTCGTTTTTTATTCATGTCAGTCGATTTTCTTGACATACTTGATAGTCACTTTTTATCTTTTTTGAAAGCTCCTTTTTCGAAATAAATACCTCCAGTAAACCCAAGCATTTTAAAAATATACCTTAAAGAAGTAAATCCATCATTGTAATTTAAAATAGCAGAATAAACAGCTATTTCAAGAATTTTTCTTGCAGTAAAAGTAGCTTTAGGGCATCTCTGCCATATGAAACCATTAAATGACTCATTGCAGTTTTGTGTCATTCTATGTAAACACTTTCTTAGCATTTCAGGGTTTGACAGTTCTTGAAAAATAGGTTTAATTTCCTCCATAATTGTAACAGGTAAGTTAATTTTTTGTCTATAACTTGTTTTACCTGTAACTTTATCTGATTGCCATTTGCACCAGCTGTTTTTCCCTTTTAAACAAAATTGATGACGAGTAACTTCATAAGGAGAATATGTACAATGGTAAAGTACAGCTATTACAGAATTTCTCATACACAGTAGATCATTTTTATTTTGTCTTATAGTCATTCCAACAAAGTTCTGCATTGTGTTAATAGATTTATTGGTTAATCTTCCTTTTCCCGATATTTTTAGGCCGTCACTTAACAACCTGCCTTTAAAGTCTTTAATTTTTTGACGCAAACGAGAGCCTACTCTTTTCTGATAATGGCCAATACACTCTAGTTTTTCAATAATACAATCACCATATGGTTTACTTTTAACAACATTAGAAAATGAACTTGAGTCACCGTCTCCAAGGTATTTAGTATATCTTAAATTATACTTTTGTATAGACGAATGAAATATTTCTTGAGCTCCAGCAGCTTCCATTGACCCTGCTGAGCTAAAATGATTAACCTGGCAATTATGTGTAGCTTTCTAACATTCAAAATCAATTGGATTGTTTATTCTTTTATGTACTTCACACTGCATACAAAACTTAGATAAAGAAAAAAAATCAATCACCTTTTTATTTTCATGTGAAAGACCAGCAACAACACCATTTAGGGAAGAATATCCACGACGTTGCCATGTTCCGTCTATTGATATGCCACAGTCAATAATTTTATCATCAGAAGCATTTGCATTTAAAATTTCTCTTAGTTCTGATACAGCAGCTTTCATACTCTGTAAACTAATTTCCTTATAAACTGTATGTAATTTATTGTTTGTAAGATTATAACTGTGATTCAGAAGAGGTGAAGGCATATTCATTATAGCAGTAAAAGTAGACATAGCTTTATTACCACATCCAATTTCACGAAATGCCATAACAGCTCGCAAATTTATTTTATATGGGTTTGAACCAGGTTTTGAACTTTGATTTATAGTTGGAGATGAATAAAATGTACTTTCAAAGCCACAGTTTGAACATTGTATTATAATTCCAATAGAAAATCCCATACGTACAGATTTATTATGCAAAAAAGTTAACTTGCTATTACACTCACTGCATGTAGAATACAGTTCAAATATATTTTTAATAACTCTAAAGTTACATATAAAAAAAAAATTGTCGACTTCAGAATCACAATTCGTTGCACCATTAAAGTTATGTTTATTCTTAAGCTTTGATGCACTTGTTGTTTCTGATTTCCTGCTACAATCAACTACATCCTTATCTTTCCTTGAATATCTATTTCCTTGATATTTTCTCTTTAAACTTCTAACTTTATTTCTTTTGTTTGCCATATTTAGATTTAGATAGCTTTCAGTTAAATTCAGACAGACAGTTTTAGTTAAAATACATCAGAATAATGAAACAAAGCACATTTTTTAAAAACGATATACTTTGCAGAACAGTAGAAAAGCATAATAGATCTAACACAAAGAAATACTTCAAAATTTCTAGTAAAAATCTTTAAGTAGTTAATGAAATTGTTGTTTACACCGTTGCTATGGCGTTGCTATGGAATAGGAAAGTGCATTGACCACAATAACTGTACTTTTTGTTACTTTTAAAGCACATAGTAGTAAAAATTGATTATGGATTTTGTTCTTCAATGTTTGAAATAGCATAAAACAAAAAAAAAAAAAAAATTTTTTTTTTTGATTTTTAATAGGGGTGAGCCACCTTAAATCAACTAACGAATCAATATACTAAACAAAGACTTTTTCTTTGCTGTGTTATTAGTCTGATAGTGGGGATATTTCTTTCATGCTAAAAATTTCATTCTTAACTTTCCAGTAATGGTAAAGTCGTATATCTTCAACCTTTTCTACTAGTTATAAAGTACCGCTTAGCTGACTAGAATGTTGATCAATTTCATCTTCAGTCAATTATATTATAATTGCAAACACATAATTCATTATGTGTTTGCAGATTTCACTGCAAACACATTATTCATTATGTGTTTGCAGGCAAAGATAAGATACGGATGTTGTAGATGTTGTTTGCCTTAATCTCAAAATGCCCTTTCAACACGAGGTCATATTTAGAAAGCATCTCAACCATCTCAAGAGAGTTTCCTTTATTCAATAATGATTCATTTTCCCGGTGTCCAAGAAATGCCAGGTTTTACTTAGCAAGAAACAGTGTGATATCAAGCAACCTGTGCAAGATATCCCTATACTTTTTCTTTTCCTTGTCCATCAAAACAATACCTTTTGCATCAATTGTTTTGTTCAGCTCAAGCCCTGATGCCAATGTTTTCCATTTTTCAAAGCAACATAGATGGTTATCCGATATTTCAAGATTATGTAATTTTGGGCTCAGCTTCCACCACTTCTGAAAACCAGTGACAAATTTGGATGTTGTTTCTGTTGCATTAACAGCAAAGAGTCTGCAGCAAAAAAAGTATAATTTCTCACTGACAAGCGAGTACACCATCCATGACCGCAATATTTTCTCACTATCAGGCATCGTCTTGTAGAACCAATCTTTTGACAACTGGCGCACACCTCCTTTAGTTCTTGCACCTTGCTTTGTCACAATACTGAAAAGCCTATCCTTGTTCTGAAATGATGAACTTCCTTTTTTGATAATTTCAACCCGAAAATTATCTAGAATTGGTACATTCCAGAAAGAAGAATCAGATAAAATTTTCAAATTTTTCTCATAAACTTGACTCGTCATCACATTTACAGTATCATGGTGAGACTCTTTTTCAGCATCCACTTCTGTTTCAAATTCATCCATATAATCATTTGCTATTTCATGTATTTCTGCATCAATCTCTTCCATTTCCGACTCTATTTGCTCTGTTGGGGAACGCATGTCGCTAGCATCGGAGGAATCGGTATCAGTATCAATTGTAGACTGAAGAACAACATCTTTTGAGGAACCTGGGACATCACTTCGTCTCTAGACATAGTTAAGGATGGATCCATGTAATGATTTTAGTGATTTAGATTTTTTCTTTTTTGTTTTTGCTGCTCTCAACCACTACGCCTCTTTGACTTGTGCACTCCATGTGGCATGATAGAATATTCTTAAATTATAAATATATGATGATAATTAGTAATTTAAAAATATAAATCTGAACAAAAAATACAATAATATATAAAAGTATATAAAATCTATATTATTAATTATAATTTAAACATTTATTACTTATGGTTATAATTCTTATTTGTTCCTTTCATAATTTAGATTTATTAAAAAAATAATCTTTCAAAAACAAAATATTCCTTTAAAAGATTTAAAATAAAAACATATAAAAACACTTTCAAGTTTTTTTAAAAAGTTTTCGCATCGTATAAAAACTTTAAAAAAGATCAACGATTAAAAGATTTTCTGATGTCTTTAAAAAAACCTTTTTTTATTATTATTAATAATCAAACAAAGCGCTCACCATTCCCGTCTATAGTCTAAAAATGTTCGTTTTTTATATTTCGTTTAGAATTTAAATAAAAAAATAGTTTTTTTTTTTCAATGAAATTTATTTTACTTTATATATGAAGAAAACGTCCGTTTTTTCCGATTTTATTTTAATTATTTCGTTTCGAATTTAAACAAAAAGTTTACTTTTAACTTTTTATTCAGAATATAAATACAACTATCGTTTATCCGGCGTTTATTTAATTATTTAATTCAGAATTTGAATAATCGTTTGATTTTACTTAATTTTATTTTAATTATACCAAATAAAATGTTTCTTTTTTGGTTTTTATTTTAAGTCATTTAAAACTTAAATCTCTTACTCTCTCTCTCTCTCTCTCTCTCTCTCTCTCTCTATATATATATATATATATATATATATATATATATATATATATATATATATATATATATATATATATATATATATATATATATATATATATATATATATATATATATATATATATGTATATATATATGTATATATATATATATATATATATATATATATATATATATATATATATATATATATATATATATATATATATATATATATATATATATATATATATATATATATATATATATATATTCCCTATTCGCCTAAGCCTTTGAGCCGATAAGACGTTTTTTGTTTGAGCGTAAGTTTTCAGGAATTTTAATTTTTTTTTTTTTTTTTTCCGTATTCTTTATCTTTCTTTTTCTACTTATTTTTCTAACTTTTTCTAACCACTACTTCTTTCTCTACTTATTGCTTTATCTTATTAGCTTATATCCAAATTTTGGATAGTAATATATTAACTATTCGTGTCTATAATACAGTTTTTGTTGTACTTCGCATACCTATATTAAATATAATTGTTATATATACCCAAGGCTGGCGCGATAGGGGGATGTGGGGGTCACACCCCTATCAATGATTTTTAGTCGGCAAACTGGACCCTTAGTCGGCAAATTGGACCCTTTTAGACTAGTTAGTCGGCAAATGTCGACCCTCTTGATATAGGTTAGACAGTCGGCAAATATCGTCATGGCAGTCGCCAAATTTTGGAAAGCGAGTACCTAATTTTTTTTTTTTTTTTTTTTTTTTTAAGTCGGCAAATGTTGTAATGGCACCCCGCCCCCACGTGACACCTACTCGCGCCGGCCCTGTATATACCTATACTTATATTTTATTATATATATCTTTATTTATATATTACTATTATAAAGATAGTTATAACTGAGATTTTATTTATGCTTTAGTTCGCTTATATTTTTTACAGAGTTTTAAAAAGTTTTTTTTTTTTTTCTTCGCCTAAAGTTGCGTTTGCACCTGTTTTTATGTTTTTTAATTTTCTGAACAATAAACTAAATTTTTGCTCTCTGACACAAACTAATATTAGTAAATTATATATCCATATATTATATATAAAAAACATATAAAAAAATAAATTATACATAAACATATACAAATAATATAAAGAAATTAAATACAGCCATACCAACATCTTTGTTGAATTGATGAGGCATTTTGTTTTTTTAAGCAATTTCAAATGCTAATCGTCTAAGATCTATTGTATTTATTCCAAACATACAAGATTCCAGTTTCAAAACATGTTCAACGTCGGCCAAAATATCTGAACTAGAACAAGTAATAAAGCAACAACAATTAGTAATAGATAAGTTAATCCAAAATCCAAATGAGCAAACTAATACCACAACCAATAATATCGAATCAAGCTGGGTTACTGTTGCAAGCAAGAACATAAAAAAAGCAGCCTATTGAACAACTAACAATTATCAACACATTTGCCATTGAGCAGCAGCAAAAAAAGAAGCGTGAAAAAAATGTTATTATTTATGGCATTAAAGAATCTGCAAAGTTATCAGTTGCTGATAAGCAGATCGACGATAAGGAAACGGTTCAGAATATCTTAGTTACTATTTCATCTGATACAAAACCAAAATCTGTCAAGCGTATTAAATCTACGTCCTCTAAGCCAGGACTAATTATCGTCGAACTTTCTGATGTCTCCAAAAGAAACCCATTATTAACAGCAGCGAAAAAATTTAAAAATTCAGATAATTATAAAAATGTTTTTATAAGCCCAGATTTGACTGAGGCTGAAAGATATTTAAACTATCAGTTAAGAATGAAGAGTAATGAATTAAATAGTAATATTAATTTAAAAACATCGCCCTTTGGATACGGTATACGAAGCAGCGGAGTCGTCAAACTCAAAAATATACAAACCACAACATAAACATTACTACCCCTCTTCCACTCTTTTACCAGCAAACTTAAAATACAGAAGCAAAAATTTTCATAACAAAAAAACAAACTATAGCGTTAATAACGTTAATTGTTATTATACTAATGCTACATCTCTCGATAATAAAATGGCCGATTTAATTTCGATATCTAGAACGTTTGATTATCACGTTATTGCTATCTCTGAAACATGGTTTCGAAATGACTCAGTACCAAATATCGATGGGTATAGCCTATATCGTAAAGATCGTCAAGACGGACGTCGAGGTGGCGGTGTAGCTATCTACATTGCAGACGTATTTAACTCTCATGAAGTTAACCAATTTTATACAAACCTACTCGAACAAGTCTGGGTATCTGTAAAATTTAACAACAAACATATACTTATCGGTTGTATATACAGACCAAATGATGCTAGTTTAATAAAATATGTCGCTAAATCCTTTAAATTAGCTCATAGTTTAATTAAAAAGCCCTACGATGACTGTTTGAGTGTCGGTGACTTTAACCACCCGAACATAAAGTGGTCTAACGATGGTATTATATCTTTTAACCCAAACAATCCTACCGAGTATGATTTCTGGAATATTTTCCAAAACAGCCTTTTTACACAACATATCACATTTCCTACTTTCCAGACTGATTACGGTTCCTCAAATAATATGTTGGACTTGTTATTTACCTACAACAGTACTTGGATTTCTCTATCCCAGATATTATTCAGGAACTTGCCGATCTAAACCCTTATAAATCCTTCAGATTTGACGGCCTGCATCCCTTAATACTCAAGATATGTGCCAAAAGCTTTGCAATTCCATTAACTAAAATCTTTCATGAATTCTTTAATTCTGGAGTTGTACCCAGTCAATGGAAATATTAGTCCGATCTATAAAAAAAAAGGGAGATAAACTACTTGCTGAAAACTATAGACCTATTTCACTAACATCTGTTGCCTGTATCTTCGAAAAACTTGTAAAGAACAAAATTTTAAAGCACATTAACGGTAATAAAATACTCTCTGCACATGGTTTCCTTTATCATAAATCATGTGTAACTAACCTAATAGAAACTTTTGATATCATTTCGTCATCATTTAGCATCCCACCAATTTATTCATGTAATCTATCTTGACTTAGCCAAAGCGTTTGATTCTGTACCTCACAACAGACTTTTGTTAAAATTAAGATCTTTCGGAATAAACGGCAAACTCCTACAATGGATTAAATCCTTTTTAGTGGGCAGAAAGCAACGCGTTACAATTAGCAATACCAACTCTGCATGGGTTGATGTTCTCAGTGGTGTTCCTCAAGGTTCTGTTCTCGGCCCGCTCCTCTTCATTCTCTACACAAATGATCTTGCAAAACTCACTGAAACCTACTGAAACACTCAAACCTAACAACAAATACGACATGAGAAACATAAACTTTTTAAAAGAACCATTTTGTCACACAAAATTTAATCAAATTTGCATTGCTTATCGTGGACCCCATCTATGGAATAATATAGTTTTGCAGAATTTTGATTTACCAACTTCCTTTTACCTTTTCAAGCTCAATCTAAAAAAATGTATTATTTCACTTGATAATATACTCAGATACTTCTAATATTTTGAAAATTGTTGTACAACTTGAATTCAGTACTTTCTTTATTTTAATTTTTACTTTATTTTTTAGTATCTTATACTGGTATTTATTTTGCTTGTTTGTGCTTTATAAGGTTCTGATGACAAGATCTTGTGATCTTCTTTCAGATCCTAGCTTATGTTTCATTGTAAGCAGTTTATGTATGTGCGCATCTACGCGTTTGTATGTGTATATATGCTTATATTTATATATGTATGTCCGTGTTTTTTCTTATTTTAATTTAGTTGATAAATGTTGTAACACGAATTTAATTGTAACACGATATATATGGCATATATAATTGTACTTTGACATTTTAATGTAAGCAAAATTTAAAAAAAAAAAAAAAAAAAAAACTTCTGAGATATTTGCCGATGATACTAAACTTTTTTCTAAAACCTTATCGCAATCTAATTTTGTTGATCTGCAGGATCGTC